CTACGGGCTCAAAAAACCCACGTAAAACTCGGCCTTGTGTCATATGCAACCCTCGTGGGGGAGGGGCAAGTAAATGTCGAATTGTGTCGAGCCGATAGTTGTTCACACCAAACCAGACTGACAGTCATACTAACACCTTCGACATCTTGTATTATTATTTCGTGTAATATACCTTCGTTATTTCTACTCTTGTGTTCGTCTTGTTCTTCCTTGGTCCTAACCTGGACCATAACAATAACATACCTCAAAAAACATCTTTTAGGGGTCAGCGCATTCCAACCTCACCCACACCTGATTGGAAAACTTCTGATTGTTTGAGAAGCACTGCTTTACATCATCCTTCGCTATATTTTTGTAAAGGTTTATACTTCATTTTCACTTGTTCCCTATTGATCCATTCCACATTGGATTAAAATTCCTTTGTGCTGCTCCAAATTTCTTCCCAATGATTTTTGCACTTTATTAATAGATGTCGCGTTTTTGGAATTCTCAAACTTCTTAATATCTTGAGCTCTGTTCGAAATATATCTTTCTCTCGATAGAACTTTCAATGTTTCTTAAATCGTTTTTTTTTCTGTGCCTTTAATTGCAATTTCTGTTTAAGAATTTCTTTGATTTGAGGAATTTCATTAATTTCTTTAATTTTATTTTTCCGCTTGACAACCTGCTTTTCTGCGTCAAAATTTTGAACTTGTGACAATCTCCTCTCGTCTCAATAATTCATATCGAATTTCCTCAAGTTCTCGATTCAGCGGTTAGATCTGTTATACGAGGCTAAGTAAAAAAATATCGACACTTTCGCCATGACATATATTTTGGTTTGTCTCATTGCTTTCTGCTCATGCGTGCTTATAGTTTGTACTATTGTGGTCACGGGATCGCAGATTGAGATTGACCACGCCAGTTTTCTTGCTGCTGTTACAGTATAAACATGGCCGCTCCGCTAGCAGTGTGCACCAAGGAAGAATAAATAGCAAGCCCTCCTTCCTCATTATGCGCCCCAACTGTCTCTTCCTGATATTAAGTATTCCTTTTTGTTTCCATTTTCTCTAACATTTCATCATTTTCCACTGTTCTGTGGGTGCGCCAAAAATGTACAAAGAGGCGGTAAATGACTATTTTCTTCCGCTGTCTTGCGCAATCTTTATCACAACTTCACAGTTCTATCGGCCCAGAATGGGTGATTAGTAAGCCGGATGTACTAATTTCTGACAATTCGGCTGAGATAAGTCAGCTTTGCTGTTTGTTCTGATTGAAAATGATTCCTAACACGACTGGCCAAATTCCTGGCGGGTCTCACCAATTAGTGTCTTTAATCAGTCCATTTTTGTATTTATCTATTTTTTCATCGTTTATTTTGAAGCAAGGGGATAAAGCCACTAAGACGTAAATGGGGGGGGTGCTGAAAGAGAAATTATATGTGAAAACATTATTATTAAGAGAGGACAATAAAAGAACAAGATATAAGTAGACAGACGATAACAATTGACGTTGACAGTTGTACTTATAATTATTAGAGCACTTGGAACAAATCTGAAGAATCTTTTTTAATCATCTCACCTTACGTAAGGCAATAAATTCACTAAGATACAAGGGGTTACTGAGTGTTAGAGAATATGAGAAAAAACTACTATTAAAAAGAGAGAGAGAGAGAGAAAGAGAGAGAGCAATATGATAAAAGGAATTGAGAACACAGAAGATAACGATTGGCATTGCATTTAAATTTTTCAAGATCAAAGTTGACTGGAAAGCAAGAAGCCTGAAGGGAGTTCCACAAGTAAGAAGTGCGAGAGAAGAAACTGTTAGCATAGAAAATACGGTTACATGTAGACATTTCAGCTGTTAAATCTATCTATATATGTATCCAAGTTTGTTCTTATCTATCTGTTCATATCCCATATGCGGACATACAGATACACGAAGGTACACGTACAATCATAATACACCGTCGCATGTGTACTTACATGCATATACGTGTCAAGAAGGCATGGTAATTCACAAATAATAAAGAAAGGGTAGCTGTGGAGAGCCATGTATTGAAGGATCATAGTATTAAATATACTATTATAGTGTTTTGGGAAAAGCATGAATCTATTTCTTTGTATGGGTTAAATAACAGGGTAGATTGGAGTGTCTAGCCTTGACTCTTAGTAGCATTATCGCCTTGCTTGCAGTAAATACAGATTGATTTTTAAAAAATAAAATCTTGTGTGTAGACATTGCGAGAGAACTTGGAAAATGGTGAAACTTGAAGGTGGCTGTTGTGCTTATCATTATTAGAGCACTTGGAACAAACTTGGAAAATACTTTTTTTTAATTCTTTCGCCCCAGGCAAGCGACTAAGACGCAAGGGGTTACTGAGTATTAGAGAATATGAGAAAAATAACTATTAAGGAGAGAAAACAAAAAAAGAATAAGAATTAAGAAGACAGAAGATCATGATTGACATTGCATTTAAATTTCTGAAGATCAAAGGCAATAAAGCCACTAAGATACAAGAGGTCACTGAGTGTTAGAAAACACGAGAAAAAAACTACTCTTAAGGAGAGAGGACAATAAAAGAACAAGAATTAAGATGACAGAAGATGATGATTGACATTGCATTTGCATTTTTGAAGATCCAAGTTGACTGTAATCCAAGAAGCCTGAAAAGAGTTCCGCAAGTGAGAAGTGCGAGAGAAGAAACTGTTAGCATAGAACTTACGGTTCCACACATTGCCGCTAAACTAGTACTGCGTTTAAGTTCATAAAATCTAGTTACTCAAGCGGAAAGTTCAGAACAATTACCATGGAATTATTTTTAGAAAAGAAACAAAGAAGTTTTCTTTATGGCAGTGGGCATGTGACTGAAAGCGAGATGCCAGATCAGGACCAATGATATTGCAGATTCTTATTTGGATTCTATCAAGAATCTCTAAAAATATAACAGTAGTACCAGACCATATGTGGCAGCAATATTCCGATCATGGAGGAATGGTAAATTTATAAATATGTAAGAATGTCGAGATTCTAGCATAGTGAACTAATCTTCATAGTAGCAGACCTAGCAATTGATTCCGTATAATTTTCTGACTTCATGTCGACAGAAAACAGTAGTCCTAGAAAGCGCAATAAGTGTCTCACCTGGAGGTTAGCATCAGACATGCTGATGGAAGACAAAAATGTTCTCTTAGACGAACAAAAGAGAGACCTCAATGCTAATCTAGTACTGCGCCGAAATTCATAAAGCTTAGATAGCATAGAGGAAATTTCATCATTCACCAGATCAGGATCAGTAATACTGCATACCACAATTTCCTTACACCAAAACAACATTTTTTATTACTTACCATTCTTACTACAGTCACCATAATACCAAAAAGTCTCTATGAAGTCTTAACGATCTCCCATATCTACAATTTGTTTGTTAATAGAATTAACAACATTAAAACAAAAAACGGGATGTTCATAAGAACAATTACCATGAAGATATTTATAGAAAAAGCACAGGAAGAATACTTTTTGACGATGGGAAAGTAACTGAAGCCGAGATGCCAGGTCAGAACCAATAACATTGCAGATTATTCTTTCGATTTTATCAAGAATCTTTCAAAAATATAGCAGGAGCGCCAAACCAGAGGTAGCAGCAATGTTCAAGAAAGGAAGAATTGTAGACTTATAAATACTTGAAATAGATACTAGCGTGATTTGCACAGACATAAAAGTGCTGATATATCCGTAATTAATTCCATCATTTTTTACGGGTATTATGCAAGTTATCATCATCATTATTATTATTATTATTATTTGTGCATCGTCATTGTTATCATTAGAATGTCTATTGCGAAAAAATAAAAATAAAAACTCCGGCAACTAATAATGCTAATGACGTTAACGCCTCGGCCGTTGAAGACGCTGAATATGAAGCCGTTTGTCAGCAGGCTTGCCTTTCCTCTAGCAAGCCTGATTGAATTTCGGTTTTTACCAATCAATAATGCTTTCCCTAAGTGAGGAAGAAGCTTTTCGTATTTTGCCGTATTGACAAAAAATATGCAAATCGCATACGTCACATCTTGACAGTCGAACGAGCCACGGCTTGCGGCCAAAACAATCCACAACAAAAAGAATAACACATACGCACACACGCATACATACGCACACACACACACACACAGAGATTAAACTTTTTTTTTTTCCTTCTTTCTTTCGTCTATATTCATTTTCTTCTTCTCTTTCACAGTGTTTTAAAGTCTTCAATATTTTCTAAAATTTCTATTTATTAAAAGTTGTTTCTTTTTTTTTATTTAACTGTTAGCTTTCATAATTTTTTTTTATGTTAATACGTTTTTTTTTTCTTTTCATTTTCGCTGGAAAAAAAATTCCATTTCTTACTTTGGATTTTTCTTGAAAAAAAAAAAAAAATAAGAAAGAATTTGAAAAAAAAGAAAAAGAATTGAATAAGATTTTTGACTTTCGTTGCAACGTTGTCTCTTTTGTTTTGTCTCGTTGGACAGTGCCACAGACGAAGATGATGAATAATTTCATTTATTGGGCTTTTTAAATACATAAAAAAAAAGATTTTTACTTTCTTTTTTCTAAAGACAATTCAATAATCTACTTTAAAAAAAAAACAAAACACCCTAACGGAAAAGATAGACTTCAGAGGATCTATGATCAAGATTCATGTCATATGTTGGCACGCCATTAGGATGTTAGTCTCCTATGTCAACCTTCTGTGTTCGAATCCAGACACTAGATAGGTATTAAATTTCTTAGAGATTGATTCCTTTGTTTTTTTAGGGTTATCAAGATTTTGCAGGTTTTGTAAAGCCAGAATTGTAAGAATCGTTTTGGATATAATAATAATTTCATGATGCGAGACTTATTGATTAACCCATAGCTGGAGGAGTAGAGATGGATTCCTACCTTTCCCAAAGGTATTTTGGGCGTCAGTAAAGATAACAAACCCGACTGAAATCGAAACTTTATCCGTCACACTATCCGTACATCCCAACGAAGAATACCTGGTATTCCTAAGGGGTCACCAATCAAGGTAGTTACCAGACTCGACTTTGCTTAACTTTGGTGATCGCATGAGAACCGGTGTTT